TAATCCAAGATGGCCGCCAGCGGGGGACTTAGTTTAACATTGGACCCTATGGGAAATACATACAAATGTCTTCTTTTAGAGAACCACTGAATGGAATGAAACCAAACATGGCATGAATGTTCCTTATGAGGTGCTGACCAATTGTTGTTACTATGAAGCTGATCCATAATCCAAGATGGCCACCAGCAGGGGACTTAGTTTAACATTGGACCCTATGGGAAATACATACAAATGTCTTCTTTTAGAGAACCACTGAATGCAATGAAACCAAACATGGCATGAATGTTTCTTATGAGGTGCTGACTGAGTGTTGTTACTTTGAAGCCGATCCATAATCCAAGATGGCCGCCAGCAGGGGACTTAGTTTATCATGGGACCCTATGAGAAATACATACAAATGTCTTCTTTTAGAGAACCACTGAATGGAATGAATCCAAACACGGCATGAATGTTCCTTATGATGTGCTGACCGAGTGTTGTTACTTTGAAGCCGATCCATAATCCAAGATGGCCGCCAGCGGGGGGACTTAGTTTAACATAGGACCCTAAGGGAAATACATACAAATGTCTTCTTTTAGAGAACCACTGAATGGAATGAAACCAAACATGGTATTAATGTTCCTTATGATGTGCTGACCGAATGTTGTTACTTTGAAGCCAATCCATAATCCAAGATGGCCGCCAGCGGGGGACTTAGTTTAACATGGGACCCTAAGGGAAATACATACAAATGTCTTCTTTTAGAGAACCACTGAATGGAATGAAACCAAACATGGCATGAATGTTCCTTATGAGGTGCTGACCAAGTGTTGTTACTATGAAGCTGATCCATCATTCAAGATGGCACCCAGCGGGGGACTTAGTTTAACATAGGCCCCTATGGGAAATACATACAAATGTCTTCTTTTAGAGAACCACTGAATGGAATGAAACCAAACATGGCATGAATGTTCCTTATGAGGTGCTGACCAAGTGTTGTTACTATGAAGCTGATCCATAATCCAAGATGGCCGCCAGCAGGGGACTTAGTTTAACATTGGACCCTATGGGAAATACATACAAATGTCTTCTTTTAGAGAACCACTGAATGGAATGAAACCAAACATGGCATGAATGTTTCTTATGAAGTGCTGACCGAGTGTTGTTACTTTGAAGCCGATCCATAATCCAAGATGGCCGCCTGCATGGGACTTAGTTTAACATGGGACCCTATGAGAAATACATACAAATGTCTTCTTTTAGAGAACCACTGAATGGAATGAATCCAAACATGGCATGAATGTTCCTTATGAGGTGCTGACCGAGTGTTGTTACTTTGAAGCTGATCCATAATCCAAGATGGCCGCCAGTGGGGGACTTAGTTTAACATGGGACCCTATTGGAAATACATACAAACGTCTTCTTTTAGAGAACCACTGAATGGGATGAAACCAAACATGGCAAGAATGTTCCTTATGAGGTGCTGACCAAGTGTTGTTTCTTTGAAGCTGATCCATCATCCAAGATGGCAGCCAGTGGGGGACTTAGTTTAACATAGGACCCTATGGGAAATACATACAAATGTTTTCTTTTAGAGAACCATTGAATGGAATGAAACCAAACATGGCATGCATGTTCCTTTTGAGGTGCTGACCAAGTGTTGTTACTTTGAAGCTGATCCATCATCCAAGATGGCAGCCAGCGGGGGACTTAGTTTAACATAGGACTCTTTGGGAAATACATACAAATGTTTTCTTTTAGAGAACCATTGAATGGAATGAAACCAAACATGGCATGCATGTTCTTTTTGAGGTGCTGACCAAGTGTTGTTACTTTGAAGCTGATCCTTCATCCATGATGACTGCCAGATGTGGACAATGTTTAACAAAGGACCCTATGAACAATACATACAAATGTCTTCTTTTAGAGAACCACATACTGAATGGATTGAAACCAAACATGGCATGAATGTTCCTTATGAGGTGCTGACTAAGTTTTGTTACTTTGAAGCTGATCCTTCATACATGATGGCCGCCAATGGGGGGACTTCCTTTAACATAAGACCATATGGGAAATACATACAAATGCTTCTTCTAGAGGTGCACTGAATGGAATGAAACCAAAACATGGCATAAATGTTTCTTATGAGGTGCTGATTAAGTGTTGCTACTTTGTTGCCGATTTACTGTTCAAGATGGCCACCAGGATTTTTTATTAAATTACAGGACCAATATTAAACCAAATTTGGCCTCACTCATTATTAGGGTATCTGTTATGATTTTAATCTATTTTTACATAATTTCCAAAACCAAAGTAGAATCAGGTGAGCGACACAGGCTCTTGAGAGCCTCTAGTTTTTTTTATGCCCCGCCGTAGCAGAGGGGGCATTAAGTTTTACCCTTGAACGTCTGTATGTACGTCTGAAGGGCCGTCTGTCCATACATCCCGAAGTTGGTTTCCGTTCTCTAACTTTAGTTTGCCTCAACCAAATGTTATGAAACTTTTACACAATAATTACCACAAAACACAGATCAAGTTTGAATTTTGGTGGCGTCACTTAAACTGTTGTAGAGTTTATGCCCCTTTACATATATGAAAAAATTGCTGAATTTTTCGTTTCTATTCTCTAATTTTAGTTTGTCTCAACCAAATGTTATGAAACTTATACACAATACTTTTATTACTACAAAACTCAGATCAATAACAAATTTGGGTAGCGTCACTTTTACCGTTCTTCAGTTATGTCCCTTTATAACTTTATATGATATGCAAGTGGGGGCATGGGACACATTCCCCATTTATTTAAATATAATTGTACTGTACAGTTAGATTTTATGTAAAATATTTTTGATTTTCATTAATATCATTTTATAGGTGAACTTGATATCAGTTTTACAGTACATGGTACATTTAAAGGTCAAGGTCCAGTCAGTACTTTCTTATCATTTTACATACTTTAAACAGAAATTTATTTATTAACAACATATCTATGGATTTGTAACTGGAGATTTGATGATTTAAAGACAAATTTAAGAAATCAATCTTTTTCAACAATTCTATATGTGCATTCTATACAAATGTTCACTTACTATGAGATTTATTGTTATTCCTGTGATATTAGTTGTCCTTGATTTCGTGGGTATAGGTGAACCACAAGTTAAAATGTTCACCAAAGTACAAATTTCCCATAGGCTTGTATGCTCAGACCTCACCAATACCACAAATCTTAATATCAAAGAAAATGTAATTTTTGCTCAATCCACAAAGATTGGTACTCACGAACAAAAAAAATAAATCCACAGTATTTTTATGCCCCATTTTTGGGCATTATGTTTTTCAGTCTGTCCGTTCATTCGTTCGTTCATTTTGTTCGTTCATTCGTTCGTTCGTTCGTTAGTTCGTCTGTCCTGCGTCAGGTTAAAGTTTTTGGTCAATGTAGTTTTTGATGAAGTCGAAGTCCAGTCAACTTGAAACTTAGTACACATGTTCCCTATGATATGATCTTTCTAATTTTAATGCCAAATTAAGAGTTTTGACCCCAATTTCACAGTCCACTGAACATAGAAAATGATAGTGCGAGTGGAGCATCTGTGTACTATGGACACATTCTTATTTAAGAATTCATTCAGTAATTATTCAGAAAATAAAAGAGATAAATGCATTATTTTTTCAATATTGTGTTATAGTTCAAGGAGCCAAAGTTCATGAAGTTATATGCAAAATTTTACTAAAATCTGTGACATTTTTCTGTACCTTGACGTAAAAATGTATTTCACTCATTAATACCTCCCTTATAGAGCAAACATGATGTTCTGTGGATCAAACAATAATCATGCTGTACTAATTTTTTCTGTTTTCATATGTATTGGTAAATCGTAAATCTAAGTGTTAAAAATACAAATGATTTAATCTTAAATACAGTGTACTGTGGATTCATTATTATTCATTGGATACCAATTTTCGTGGATTTCGTGGGTACTGGTAAACCACAAATTCAAATGTTCAACTATCTACAAATTTTCCATTGGTCTGTATGCAGACTTTGGCAAAACCAAGAAAATAAATATCCACGAAAATGCAAGATTTCTCAATCCACGAAAATTGATACCCACGAAAATAAATGAATCCACAGTATTTTAAAACCACCAAATCAAATATGTACAAACATACCATTTTTTTTCTCAATCCACTAAAACTTGAACCCATGAAAAGAAATAAATCTAATGTAACAAACATGGAGAAGATACCAAAGTGACAATCACAGATCATAAAAAACCAACAAAGTTACAGTAAAAAGTTACAGTGAATAACGAAAAACAACAAAGTTACAGTGAATAAAAAACAACAAAGTTACAGTGAATAACGAAAAACAACAAAGTTACAGTGAATAAAAAAACAACAAAGTTACAGTGAATAACGAAAAACAACAAAGTTACAGTGAATAAAAAAACAACAAAGTTACAGTGAATAATGAAAAACGACAAAGTTACAGTGAATAAAAAACAACAAAGTTACAGTGAATAACGAAAAACAACAAAGTTACAGAGAATAACGAAAAACAACAAAGTTACAGTGAATAAAAAAACAACAAAGTTACAGTGAACAACGAAAAACAACAAAGTTACAGTGAATAACGAAAAACAACAAAGTTACAGTGAATAACGAAAAACAACAAAGTTACAGTGAATAACGAAAAACAACAAAGTTACAGTGAATAAAAAAACAACAAAGTTACAGTGAATAATGAAAAACAACAAAGTTACAGTGAATAACGAAAACCAACAAAGTTACAGTGAATAACGAAAACCAACAAAGTTACAGTAAATAATGAAAACCAACAAAGTTACAGTAAATAATGAAAAACAACAAAGTTACAGTAAATAATGAAAAACAACAAAAAGACAACCACATCTGCAAAGCATTATACATGTAGCTGTTTAAAAGGTACATAAAAATTCAGCTGACATTTGAATGATAATTTCATGTTGTATATAACAATATATTAACATTTTCTCTTTCAGGCTGAATTTGAATTACAACATTTAGTGGTTGATTCAGAGAAATTGACTCAAGGTACAGTATTGAGTTTTAGCAAATTTGACCTGTGACCTTTTGGGAGGTTGATGAACATACCTTGCGACCTGACATCTCATTTAAAATAGTCCCAAGTTTCTGACTGACATGTTTGTTGACCTTGACCATGGTTCAGTGACTGTATAAAAACTTTAAAAGTGTTTTTATCTCTTGATTTTTCCAGTTAGATTGAGAAAAAGGACAACCAGATGTGTTCAAGCTACACCTTTTTCAAGGGGTTTTTCATAGGGTGTAGCACCAACACTTTATATCTGACAGCCTGTGTCCTTTTTTTGGCAATTTTATTGAACTGCCCTGCCGTTTTATACGACCGCAAAAAAAATTTTGTCGTCCGAAGACACATTGGTTTTCGCACTCTAACTTTAGTTTAAGTGAATGGATCTCTATGAAATATTACCATAAGGTTCAATACCACAAAAGGAAGGTTGGGATTGATTTTGGGGGTTATGGTACCAACAGTTAAGGAATTAGGGGCCAAAAATAAGCATTTTTGTAACTTCCAGCCATAACTTGTGTGTTAGTGTATGGATCTCTCTGACATTGTACCACAAGGTTCCATATCACAAAGGGAATGCTGGGATTGATTTTAGGGGTAATTGCCTCAAAATTTTAGGAATTAGGGGCCATAAAAGGGGCAAAAAACAAGCATTTTTCTAGTTTCATGATAATAACTTGGATCTTTCTGAAATTGTACTACAAGGTTCCTTATCACAAAGGGAAAGCTGGAATTGAGTTTGTGGGTAATTGCCCAAAACGTTTAGGAATAAGGGGCCATAAATAAGCATTTTTCTAGTTTCCAGACAATAACTTGTGTTCAAGTGTATGGATCTCTCTGAAATTGTACTGCAAGGTACCATACCACAAAGGGAAGGCTGGGATTAATTTTGGGGTAATTGCCTCAAAATTTTAGGAATTAGGGGCCAAAAAGGGGCAAAAACAAGCATTTTTCTAGTTTCATGATAATAACTTGTGTGTAAGTGTATGGATCTTTATGAAATTTGGGGGAGGGATTTTTTTTTTTTTTTAAATTTTCCATTTTAAATTGGTTATTTCTGACTTATATATAAAAGCAAATAATAATGATATGGTTTAAATAGGTAAATTAAAAAAATTTAAGTTCTTAGACCACATTCATTCTGTGTCAGAAACCTATGCTGTGTCAAATATTTAATCACAATCCAAATTCAGTGCTGTATCAAGCTTGAATGTTGTGTCCATACTTGCCCCAACTGTTCAGGGTTCGACCTCTGCGGTCGTATCAAGCTGCGCCCAGCGGAGCATTTTATTTAATGAGTTACCCTTATCTTTTCAAAACAGCAAAATCTTTGATTATTGACTGCTGATTCACTTGGTCGTAGTCGTCGTCGTCATCCGGCGTCGTCCGAAGACACATTGGTTTTCGCACTCTAACTTTAGTTTAAGTGAATGGATCTCCATGAAATTTTACCATAAGGTTCAATACCACGAAAGGAAGGTTGGGATTGATTTTGGGGGTTATGGTACCAACAGTTAAGGAATTAGGGGCCAAAAGGGGCCAAAAATAAGCATTTTTGTAACTTCCAGATAATAACTTGTGTGTAAGTGTATGGATCTCTCTGACATTGTACCACAAGGTTCCATATCACAAAGGGAAGGCTGTAATTGATTTTGGGGGTAATTGCCTCAAAATTTTAGGAATTAGGGGCAAAAAAAGGGGCAAAAAACAAGCATTTTTCTAGTTTCATGACAATAACTTGTAAGTGTTTAGATGTTTCTGAAATTGTACTACAAGGTTCCATATCACAAAGGGAAAGCTGGAATTGAGTTTGGGGGTAATTGCCCGAAACGTTTAGGAATTGGGGGCCAAAAAGGGGCCAAAAATAAGCATTTTTCTAGTTTCCAGACAATAACTTGTGTTCAAGTGTATGGATCTCTCTGAAATTGTACTGCAAGGTACCATACCACAAAGGGAAGGCTGGGATTGAGTTTGGGGGTGATGAATCATAAGGGGGTTAAAAAAATTTGGGGGGGGGGGGGATTTTTTTTCTTTCTTTTTTTTTCTTTTTTCTTCCTTTTTTTTTTCTTTTAAAATTTTCCATTTTAAGTTGGTTATTTCTGATTTATATTTAAAAGCAAGTAATAATGATATGGTAGGAGATACACACCAAACAGGATGTGTAAATTATTATATAATAAGTATTGTGCAATAGCAAGAAATTTTCAATTGCACAGTATTGCACAATAGCAAGAAATCTTCAATTGCACAGTATTGGGCAATAGCAAGAAATATCCAATAGCACAATATTGCGCAATAGGAAGAAATTGTCAATTGTACAGTATTGCGCAATAGCAAGAAATATTCAATTGCACAGTATTGTGCAAAAGAAGATACTTCCTATAAATTGCTTATTTCTTGATCAATTTCAATGGGGTTTTATTGTTGAATTCTTGGGGTTCTTTAATATGCTGAATCTAACCGTGTATTAAGTTTTTGGATTTTGGGCCCCATTTTTAAATTGGTCCACATTGAGGTACAAAGGGTCCAAAATTTAACTTTGTTTGATTTCATCAAAAATTGAATTATTGGAGTTCTTTGATATGCCGAATCTAACCATGTATTTAGATTCTTAATTTTTGGTTCCGTTTTCAAATTGGTCTACATTAAGGTCCAAAGGGTCCAAAATTAAACTTAGTTTGATTTTAACAAAAATTGAATTTTTAGGGTTCTTTGATATGCTGAATCTAAACATGTATTTAGATTTTTTATTATGGGCCCAGTTTTCAAGTTGGTCCAAATCAGGGTCCAAAATTAAACTTTGTTTGATTTCAACAAAAATTGAATATATGGGGTTCTTTGATATGCTGAATCTAACCATGTATTTAGATTTTTTTATTTTTGGGCCCCGTTATCAACTTTGTCCACATTGAGGTCAAAAGGGTCCAAAATTAAACTTTGTTTGATTTCATCAAAAATTGAATTCTTGGGGTTCTTTGATATGCTGAATCTAACCATGTATTTACATTTTGGATATTGGACCATAATAGGTGAATGTCCAATTTAAAATTTTTAAGTTCTTAGACCACATTCATTCTGTGTCAGAAACCTATGCTGTGTCAAATATTTAATCACAATCCAAATTCAGAGCTGTATCAAGCTTGAATGTTGTGTCCATACTTGCCCCAACTGTTCATGGTTCGACCTCTGCGGTCGTATCAAGCTGCGCCCTGCGGAGCATTTTATTATTACAGTGTAGTGTATTACTTTTAGGACAAATAATAACAAAATTATAGATAAGTCTACATGCTCTAACTCAAAATATTAATAATTCTATGTTAAGGGGGCTGGATTTATAATTCAGTTTGACACCTTCAGACATAATAATTTTTGACCTTTTTTAACTGGACCAAATCCCTACTTTACATAAAAATTCATCACCCAAATTTTTTTTAATATGTAATTTCACCCGGCCCCCTACTTAATATTTCATGCATAAAATGTAAATAGATAAATTTGGAAAGTGACTGAAACAAATTTCCAAGTTATACACTGTCCACACTAGGGACTATATTATTAGACGACGAAAATCAAAGGAGGATAACTGTGTCCTTGGGCCTAATAGGATAGAAAGACTTCACCAATTCTAATAAAACTTTGCATGACCTAAGCTTAGTGAATTATAAGGTAGTTGGCCAAGATTCATGGCCATATGATATATATTATAATTTATAGAACAAGATTTGGGCCTAAAAAATTTAAATATTGCAAAAATTTGCTTTTTAAATGCCCTTTTATATAATGTTTTATATATTAAAAGCTGAACACTCATTTGATTCATCAGATTTATTACAATGATTCAAAAGTAAAATTTATGCCTGTGCCTGAAAACGGAGATTTTCAAATTAAGGGGGCCTTACATAAAAATACATTTTTTTCAACCAATTTGAATTTTTTGAAGTTTTTTTACCATAAATTTTTCTGTGATATATATTAAATGAACTTTAAATGGAAAGAAAAGTTACAAATAGCATACCACATGAGTATAAAATAGTCTTAGGCCTTGTAAGACTGAAAATTATTTTGGGTCAATTTAGGCCATACCACATATTTACATATAAAAAAGCATACGGAAGCTATAAGAAATAGAAATTTGTTACTTTTTTCTCATTTCTATGTTAATATGGTTAAGATGTCATGAATCAAAAAGTCTGAATGCAAAAGGACTCTTGCATTCAACTTATTTGCAGACAGTATGGTCTAGTGTAGTTTTAGTCTCAACAGGCATATATTTGAACCACTTACTCTCCTAATGAAGAAACTAAAGGTAGTATATGATATGAATAAGGTGCACTTGTCATTGTTAAGTGCTTTTATTACAGATTTAGTGAAATATCAAAGGAAGATAACTGTGTCCTCGGACCAGCTACAAAAATGGATATTCAAACTCATAAATTGAAGAAAAAAACAATGCCATGGCAAAAATCAACCAAAAGACAAGTAACAGTATACAAAACACAACATAAAAAAAACAAGACTAAGCAACAGGAACCCCACCAAAAACCTTGTGATATCAGGTGCTCTGGAATGGTGAGCAAATCCTGCTCCACATGCAACACCAGTTGTGTTATAAAATACATTGTCTTTAAACATCTTTCATTGATAGCTTGAGGAAATGAATAGGTAGCTTTTATCACTTCAAATTGCTCACTTTTTCAAATTTATTTACACAATGAGGTACTCTTTTATAAATCTCGTTAAAGCTCTTTAGTGCCCTTATACAGTCCTGTTTACATGCATGCTAAAATGTCCATTTTGCGATTAACATCCTGCCCTTTTCAAATTCTAACTGGAACAGGCTTCCAAAACAGTCGTATTGTCCAGACTTGATTGGTTAATTATATATTTGACTTGATGTGCTGAGCCTGAACTGTACATCTAACATAGGTTTGCCATTTAAAAATAACTCAGAAAAAAAAATTGAAGTTTATGTGGTCTTTTTTACCTGACATTGATACCTGTATTTGCTATATATATAGATGTCATTCAGTCAAGGTAAACCTGACCTTCACCTCATTTCATGTTTCAGGAGTCAAAGTTTTTGTGATGAGGCCTTGTTATTAGATATATGTACCATAGCTTATAGGGTACCAGTAATTATATTGGGCGTATAGAATGATTTTAAAAGGTACATAGTTTAATTATCTGACAGGGTTCATCTGACCTTGACATTATTTTCTTGGTTTATTTGTCATAGTCAACTTTTTGTGATCAGGTTTTGTTTCTCAGATACTATAAGTAATAGGTCAATGATATTCAGTTTATAAATGATTGTTATGTGTATGGGTCTGTCTGATAGGGTTCAACTGACCTTGACCTCATTTTCATGGTTCATTGGTCAATGTTAACCTTTTGTGATAGTGTTTGTATCTCAAATCTAGATACTACAAGCATAATAAGCAATAGGTTAACAATATTAGGTATGAATGATTGTTAGGTGTACATGTCAGTCTGACAGGATTCATCTGACCATCACCTCATTTTCAGAGTTCATTGGTCGATGTTAAGCTTTCTTAATTATGTCTGTTTCTCAGGTAATATAAATGATGGATCCTCTATATTTGTTGCATAGAATAATTGTAAGGTGTAAATGTTCAACTTACAAAGTTTTTCTGACCTTGACCTCATTTTCATGGAACATTGATTATGTTATGTTTATGTTGTACCAGTAGTTAGAAAAAAAATTCAGTCCTACTCAATAAAGCAGGCAAGACATTTAAACATGTGCACTCTTGTAGTATCTGTATATTTTTATTAAGATAATTCAACAGATTTCACATGGTTAGATATATACAGTCATAAATGAACAGAACTTTGGAACCACTAAGAGGATATCACTGTAAATTTACCTCATGGATGCAATACCAAATGCCAGGATAGGGTTTTTTCCTATAGGCTTCTAAAACCAGAAATTCACAAAATGGTTCTTTATCAATGACCATTTTATAGGCTTATACAGGAGCTTCAGAAATGTCTCCTTGTATTTACTTGCATAAAATGCTGTAATCTGAAGTAATTTTATTTGTAAAAAAAACAGAAATAGAAAAAAAAATAAGAGGTAAATACAATTATTTAGCCCTAGACAATTTTTTTAACAATACTATATAGTATGTCAGAGGTTGGATGAGATGAGTGAAAGTAAAATCAACCGGGTGAGATAAGAGGTTGGATGAGATGAGTGATAATAAAAATCAACCGGTTCAGAAAAGAGGTTGGATGAGATGATTGATAATAAAATCAACCGGGTGAGAAAAGAGGTTGGATGAGATGAGTGATAATAAAAATCAACTGGGTGAGAAAAGAGGTTGAATGAGATGAGTGATAATAAAATCAACCGGGTGAGAAAAGAGGTTGGATGAGATGAGTGATAATAAAATCACCAGGGTGAGAAAAGAGGTTGGATGAGATGAGTGATAATTAAATCAAATGGGTGAGAAAAGAGGTTGGATGAGATGAGTGATAATAAAATTCAACCTAGTGAGAAAAGAGGTTGGATGAGATGAGTGATAATAAAATCAACCGGGTGAGAAAAGATGTTGGATGAGATAAATCAACCAGGTGAGAAAAGAGGTTGGATGAGATAAATCGACCAGGTGAGAAAAGAGGTTGGATGAGATGAGTGATAATAAAATCAACTGGTGTCATATGGTATTTTGAACCCCCTTTAAAAGTGAAAATTTTACTTTGCCATGGTATTTTGACCCCCCTGCCATGGTATATTGAACCCCCTACTATAGATCTTTAATTTCAAAACTTCTAGCAATTCTAACTCTTGTATATAGTTATAATACTCCAATAAGTAGTTTGTATGTATTTAACTTGCTGGAAAAGATGTTTTGAAAATTATATTTAGGCATGGTATTTTGACCCCCCTGCCATTGTATATTGACCCCCCCCCCCCCCCCCCCCCCCCCTTCACACCTCCAATTTCAAAAATTCTAGCTATTCTAACTCTGTTACATAGTTATAATACTCCAATAAGTAGTTTGTATGTATTTAACTTGCTGGAAAAGATAGTTTGAAAATTTTACTTTGCCATGGTATTATGACCCCCTGCCATGGTATATTGAACCCCCTACCATAGACCTTTAATTTCTAAAATTCTAGCAATTCTAACTCTTGTATATAGTAATAATACCCCAATAAGTAGTTTGTATGTATTTAACATGCTGAAAAAGATGTTTTGAAAGTTTTACTTTTTGAATTTAACTGAGCCATGGTAATTTGACCCCCTCACCCTTTTTTACCATGGAAAATTAAAACTACCAGTATATATATATATATAAACAAGTCTAAATTGAAAAGAACGTTCAAACCGATATATATATATATATATATGTTATAATTTCAAATAATTAAAGCCTTCAAGCTACATGGTCTAGTTATAATGCTTCAATAAGTATTTTGAATGAAATTTTGTTAGTAAAGACTTCAGAGGACTTATACCAAGCAAAGATATTTCTTTTAACCAATCATGGAAAATTGACCTCCCCTTCTTGTAGGAATAATTTTTAATCTATGATAAGCTTTAGAACAATGTATAATGTTCTAATAATCATCTAGAATGAAAAAAACAGGGGGGTTCAATTTACCATGGGGGGTCAATTTTCCATACAGGGGGGGGGGGGGGGGGGGGGGGGGTCAATTTACCATGGGGTTCAAAATACTAATGACAGGGGGTGAGAAAAATGAAATCATAATAAAATAATATTTACAGAACATGCAGAACAAGATGTTATGGTTATAACTGTATTGAAATTTTGGATCATTTCAGTGATGACAATGGGATTTAATGAAAGAGAGGCTCGTCTTGGACTGCGAGCATCAGCTGGACATATAGAACAAGCTGTGCAACATATAATGCAGAGAAAGGAGGTATTACAAATTATCACCATTTTCTGAAATTTTGCTTTTATCTTTTTGTGTGATAATTCTACAACTCGAGCTACTTAACTGAGATTTTTTTTGTATCAGTCGATTAGAATGAGAACATGATGATGTCGTAAGCCAATGGCATTGACATTGCCTAGGGAAACAGTAATAAACCTATTATCTACGGTCTTTCAGCTCCAGCAGTTTTCTCTGCTATAGCTCATCTCAGGGCTTTTGGATTTCAATGAGATAGAAGATGAGAAATTCCCTCCAGTTTTCAAAACTGTAGATAATCTATAATTATATTCCCTGGTTTGTTTATCACATTGTTCAACACTCCATAGAGTACTTTAGGTGTTCTGTGTCTGTTTATCACATTGTCCACACTCCACAGAGTAATTTGGTGTGCTCAACGTAATATACTGACCGCTTGTGTAGATCATGGGTTCAACATATAAAGCAGAAAAAAGAGGGTATTAACAATTATTATCAAGGTGGAGCAAAACCCTTCACTTCACTGAAAACCCCCTAGCACCAGTTTTTGCGAAGTTCTTTGTTCGAAGACAGTCGTGCTAAATCTATGCGTTGAAGAAGATAGCTGCACAGGTGATTATAAATCATGCCCGGCAAAAAACTAAGAAATACTGTCATAAATTGCCATGCTGTAAAATACAGAAACAATGCAAACAATTAGAAAACTATAGAGCACATCAAGATATATGATAGATAGCTTGGCAGGGGGAAAATGTAATGACAAAAATACCAAACTCCAAGGTAAATTAAAAAAAGGGAAGTCCATAAAACTGGCAAAACTAAATGCTTGACTAGATTAACCAACAGAATGACTTGAAAACAACTGTTACATTCCTGACTTGGTTCAGGCATTTTTGAAAGACAAAAATAGGCCAAAAAAAATAAAGAATAGAGAATATTGGGGTGCTCAACTATACACATGATAAAGCATAGAGAAAAATTACCTAAAAAAGTTAAAGAATACAGAAATGAAAGACCCCACATCCAGACCATCATACAACAGCTTCTTTCATTTAAACAGGAGAAAAAAGGAATATCAAAGAAAATTAAAGAAGAAAGAAGAAAGAAAAGAATCCAGAAAAGTTTGGGATTAACAGCTAATAAAGACAAGTATAAATCTATTTATATCGAAGAAAGTACCACAAAAATTCTGTTTGAATGTCATTGTAACTTAAACAGGAGAGATGTAAGATGTTGATGGCAATTTTAAGTAAAAAAAATTCTGTAGTTTCTTGAGAAGGAGAACTTTATATCTTATATAGATAGTATTAACCTCTTGCATTTATTATGTCAGTATTTTTTTTTTATGAATTAAGTCAGACATTTAGACATTATTCTCAAAAGATTATGGGGACATCGGTGGCAGAGTGGTCTAAGTAGTGGAATTAATGTATCACTAGCCCGTCAACACTGAGGTTGTGAGTTCGCATGTGGCAGGTGCGCTTGACTCCAATCTCAATTGACTAGGATTGTCTTTTCCTACCTAAGGTTGGTGGCTCTCTCCGGCACTGCAGCTTCCTCTACCAATTAAAATTGACTGCCACAAAATAGCAAAATAGTGCTGAAAGTGGCGTTAAAAATCAATCATTCAATCAATCAAAAGATTATGAAATAGTCCAAATAGCTGTTGACTTAATTATCCGAAAAAAATCTGAGGAAAAATATATGAATATGCAAACCTGAAGGGACTTTAATGAATTCCACATGCATGCTCCTCTCGTTTACTTTGGATTTCTTTATATTCTTCGATACAAGTTTTCGTGGATTGCAGAATGCTTGTATTTTCTTGGATATTTCCTTTCCTGGATTTGCCAAAGTCTGTATACAAGCCTTCAGAGAATATGTACTTAGTTGAACATTTGTATTTATAGTGGTGACCTATACTAAAGAAATCCACGAAAATTGGTATCCAAAGAATAATAATAAATCCACAATAGTTTGAGGTTGGTCTGGGTTTTTTTTCAGGTCTGATCTCATTTTAAACACACAAGTCATGTGATTATGTCAGAAATATATGTAGTGTTGGGATAAACAATTTAAACATTGTCTGCATGACATATCAACTTATAGTTAATGCCACCTTTTCATATGTTTTCGCCTGGGTAAGGAAGTCAAAATAGAAGTGTGGTCAAATATTTTAGACGAAACCGGTTAAAATCATTCAATTTGCTTAATTTGCATGTGTGAAAGACTATGCAGATTCATGGAATAATATCACATGATACAAATTTTTCAACACCTACTCTGAAACAGAAACTATCTTGGAACTCTGGAAAGAACTGCCATTATTTATTTTTAAGAGTATTACTTGATTTTATTTCACAAAGTTGTTCTCTTTTTTCTAGTAGAATCTAATATTGAATAACTGTAGGAAAAATATATTATAGAGTGAACGTTGACAGTTATGAAATGTTGACTAATATGGGATTTGGAGGAGGAGCAGCAGCAGAGGCCTTAAGACAGGCTAACAATGATGTTAGCCAAGCTTTAGAGGTAAGATTTAGAAGCATAGTAGTTTGCTTGTAAAAAGTCAGTTTCATGTGATGGTAACAAGCCTGTTGACTTATTTGATTTTGTTGTTAATTCGATGATATTTTTTTGTGACTAGTAAAACTTTAGAAAACTCATAGACAGGTCTTGAGGATTTTTCCTTGAATATGTAGAAAGCATCATTTTATTTTTAAAAATACCCAAAACCCAATTATTTAGATGTTACAATCTTTAGCTGAACTGTAAAGGTCTTGACAGTAATCATTGCTTTAAATGCTTTAAATACTTTGATATCTTTATAGGTACTAGAAAAGCATCCAGAGTTTCTTTCCCTACCTGATCCAGAGCACAAGAATATTACAATTACAGATGAAATGTTAGCTCAGGTAAAACAGAGATTTGCAACAAGCTTATAATTTACCTTTTTAGAATATAAAGGACTGTGAGGGGCCTGATGGGGGGTCTCATCACGATTCACGAGTTGATTTTTTTGTCAATCACGATTCACAGAAAATAAATTTCCATGATCACGGATCACGAAAATATAAAAAAAAAATAAATCTGTAAAAAAACGGATCACGATAGCGAAAATGCGCTGATCACGAAGAACGAAAATAACCCATCAGGCCCCTCGACTATGGGTAATTTAATTGTTTATACAAGATAGAAGAAAATAGGATTACACCTCTGGTTGATAATCCATCTTTTTAATAGAAAAAATAAGAGACGGAAGATACCAACGTCACATTCAAAACTCATAACTCAAGAGAATCTGAAAATGCCAGACATATATATACGAGCAAACACCACAGCAGACCTAATTTTAGAATAAAAACATTCCTCTTCCAAATATAGAAAGTGAAACTTCCTAGACAAAATGAACAACAATTCCATGAAACAAACAACTTAGCAACAAAAAACTGGAGGTCATATTCGGTGCTAGCTATAGGGAAGGATAAACAGATCCTGCTCCACTAGTGGCCCCTTTTGAGTGTTGTTAACCATTATAAATGCTTTTATGGCTGCTTTTGAAGATATTACCCATAATGCTTTCATTCATGTTGGTCATCATCCATCAAAGAGAATTTAGGTAATAATGGTTTACTTCTGTCAGCCCTTGTATCCTTTGCATGACCTTTTGTCTGTCCCATAGTACTTTGGTAGCATTTTTCCTGAAACTACAAAACAAAGCTTCTGAAATTTGGTAACACTTCACGTGAGCATGCTATTTTGTGTTACTGATTTTCTGATTCATCACTCATCAAATTCCTGATTACCGATTTTTTTGTTTTATTTTTCAAATTGCCATGTATAAAATTTTTTCACATTTTCCAAAGAAACTGCAAGTCAAGGCTTTCTGAAAATAATCTTCATGTGAGCATGCTATAACACATCATACAGTGAAACATGCTCAAATGAAACTTGAAATCAAAGTTCGGGGAAGTTCTAATAATTTTTAGTCCCTGAATGAGAAATGAGAAAAAAGAAGAGAAGGACAGACGTAAACCAGTATTACCCCCCGTCTTTGGAGCGGAACTTATAAAAACTTATAAAAACCAAAAGACATCTGGATTAACAGTGGTTCTTCGACAATATAGGATATATCTATTCAATATGTCAAGTTCTAAATTGCCCTATAATGTGGATTCCTTATTATTCGTGAGATACCATTTTTATGGATTTTGTGGGTATAGGTCTTTCACAAATTAAATGTTCAATGAAGTACACATCTCACAAGGAATTGTATGCAGAGGTTGGCTTACCCACAAAAATAAATATCCACGAAAACTTTGTCCTCAATCTATGAAATTGGTATGGGAAAATAAATTAATCCACATTATTAAAAAAGTTGTCAGAAATCTTGGAAGCAAACTATCGAAAAACTGCCATCAATACCTAATGGCCTGAACTATAAATACATAACCATATAAATAATGACAACGACTGATTGAGAAGGCTCCTGAGTTGGGACAGGAAATAAAACATGTGCCAGGATAAAACTAGCTTTAAGAGATTAAAAAGGGGGGAGGGTCGAGATCTCTTATAGTAAACATTCTACGCACAAACCTATCAGAAATTTGTTTTTCGTTGAATATTGTTAACCAACTTATCACAATGAGTTTATTTTTGCGATATTTGTTTGTACAAAAAAAGTGTGAATATAAATCGTCACAATTATGTCAAGCTTGAATTATTTCTTGTTTAAATACATGTACATCACAAAAATTTAAAAAATGCCAAAATAAATTGCGCTATAAAGTTGGCTTAAAAGAGCTGAACAGCAAAAAGTATCAGTAAAAATAAGCTGATTTACAGTACTTGAAAATCCCTGCAATCCAGGAAAATTAGTACCCAGACGAATAATAATGAATCTGCTGTACTTAGAATGTTTATCTTAAAAGGTGTACAGTTTAGGGTTTGATCCAGAAATGGCCAGAGAAGCATTAAAATTACATGCAGGGAGTATCCAGAAGGCAATAGATGAGTTAATACGCAGTGGTGGTATTATAGCTACAAGCTCTAGAAGTAGTTCGGAAGGCTCTGATAGTTCAAGTGCTGGTAAGGTTAAAGATTCAGTTTGATAATGTATTTTGTTTGAGAGTCATGTAAATGTGTAGATATTGATTATATATTGGGGTTAAGATACATGGCTGACTTGATAGGTATCCATTTTCCAGGCTTAAGGATGTTCGCTCCTCTTGTTTTTGGATTTTTGACACATATTCGGAATCCTCTGGTTTTATCCATGTAGTGTCATTAAAAAAATTTCCCCGCTAACCCCTACTTTTCTTTTTATAATTTTATTACTTATAGTTTAAAAAGCCAAATTTGAAAATCCTATAAAATCCTTGTTATTTTTTTCATAATTTTTTAAAGTAAAAGGGTACCAATGTTAAATGTAAGAAAAGTCTAGAGAGAATTATTTCCCGCCAAATTTTCAATGGGTTATATCTCTCAAACAAGCACACGGACCCTACATTTTTTTCTGCTTTTTCAGTTCCTTCAATTATATACTATCAATTTATAATAGTCTTTTAAAAAGCTTGTTATTTTGAAACAGAGTAGCGAACATCCTTAATCTCTACTTTTGAGATAAAGAATAGTACATTGAGCACAACATTCTATCCACCTTATTCATCAACTTTTCAAGAAATTTATGAATGAAATTTACCCTCAGATATTCAAGTTACAAAATGATGTATACTAAGTTTTGTCAGGAAATTATATCAATGATGTCATAGTTAAAGTAAAATTTAGAATTGGAGTTATCTTCCTTTGTCCAAAAGTTGTACAAACTACAATCATTGACAAATAAAAGTATTGCCTTCCAATACTTATACAATGCATTTGTTATTTTAAGCTCCCACTGCAAAGTGAATGCAGTCTTTACCCTTTGGTTCTCACAAGCACTTTGATATGATTGGTTCTGTTAAATATCATAAGGCCGGGATTTTATTTTGTTAATAAAAATAACCAAATTTAGTTTGTTAAGATAAAATTTCACAGATTGATCGATTGATTGATTGATGTTTGCTTAGTGTCTGTTGGCAAATATTTCATGAAGAGAACAAATTAACAATAATTACAATGGGTAGCTCCTGTAGTAGAGGCCTTCCAAGATGAAATTTGGTCTGGTTCTGGAAAGTGAGGGTATATTGGATGGGGATAGAAGTTTTGCCTTATAACAGGCCACCTATAGACCTCTCAAAGAGTTGTTGCAAGGGATCTTACAGTGCAGAGAGCGTTCACAGATTGAATTGCATCTAACTATTCCATTAAAATAAGTTCATTCTGCTCTTTTTTTATTATTCTGTAAGATTTTAATTCCAAGCTTTTTAGATCAGCTTTTTCAAACATACACAAATTATAAATAACAATTAACCACATCGTGTGATTTTTGGTTTTCTCCCCTGTTGAAGTTCAAGAAATCACTAGGTTTTGTGATGAAGATGAAATACACAATTAAGTAAATCACACATTTATGTTTTATAAGATCTTTTTATTTTACTTTTTTTTTTCGAACAACTGACTTAAAGTTTAGAGATTAAACATCTGTAAACCAAATTAATAAACCTTGAGCTTAAATACACATCACAGACAGATTTTTAAACATTTTATTTTTCTTAAATTGTTTTGATAAACACCTAGTACTTTATAATCCAACTTTTTAATTTGAAATGAATCCAATGTTTATAAAATTACTGGTTACAGTAAGGCTTCAACAATGAGCAGAGATTTTTCTGAAAAGAGCTGTTGATTTGGTTATGAATAGTAACATTTGATTGGACCCATATCTATTTTAAAATGCCATAAAACGTTCTAAAAACTTTTTATTCTCTTGCAGACAGTTCACCAGAAGCTGGGCCATCTAATATCAATAAAAGCGAGGAGAAAAAGAGAAAGAAAGAAGAAAAGGAAGTTTTACAAGATTTTATGTCTGACCTTCCTGAAGATGAGGAAGATTACTTAGATTTAACACTGACTGAAGAGGAACAGTTTCTTAAGGAATATAAATCATTGGTTGATAGTCTTGGAGATAGATAAATTGATGGTCACAGTCAGAAAAATATATGGATGATCACTGCTTTATAACAGAAGAAACACTTTTGAAAGTGTTATTTCCCTTTGTATCAGGATAAATTTTATGAGGGTCTTGATGGGGTCCTTCATTTCTGTAATCTTTAATTTTTTAGGACATTTTTCTATATTCTTTATATTTTTTGCCAATTATTGTCTATTCTCTATATTTTAGCACACCATTATTCTCTATATTTTAGCACACCATTATTCTCTATATTTTATTTTTTTGGCCCATTTTTCTCTCTTCTTTATTCTTTTTGACCATTATTCTGTAATATTGGCCTATTATTTGCTGTTCTGTAAACCCCATCCAGACCCTCTTTTATTCATGATTAAACAATCTTTGAATTATATTGATTAGCAGTCTTTTACAAAGGCAACATTATGTACTTTTGTGGGTTTACATATATATGTGCATGAGGTCTATATGACCAGTTCAGGCTTCTGGAAGCCTCTGGTTCAATTTTGTGAGTTTACATAGCTATATTTATACAGGATCTATATGGATCTATATGAGCAATTCAAGCTTCTGTCATCTGAAAGCCTCTAGTTTAATAATGATCTAAAGTTAGAATACTTTTCATCCTGAATATGATATAATATAATACATGCCTTATACATGTAGCTGCCAAATCAAAATGAAGTGATTGTCAAATTACTCCTTTTGTGATATATGGATGTTGATCCTAGCTGCCATCAGACATGACTGAAATTATTAATAAATTTGGACATTTGACAAATGATTGAACAGAAAGATCTAGTAAATGGCCAATTGCTACAAAATTATTGGGAAATTAGAATAATGGTTGATATTTCTAACCACAACCATATATGGAAGCCACCATTTAAAATCATTGAACAAAAATAGATAAAATAGAAAAGTCTGAACTATGGAAAAATTACATACTTGTGAATCTTTAGTATCTAGGTAGAAAAAGTCCCTAACAATCATGTATAGCCTCTACCATTTCTGAAAAAAAGGCAAGATATTAGTGAACATTTAAAAACTGAAGCAAAAGATATGTAGAAAATAAAACCAAAATTCATATATGACCATGTCAACAAAACCATTGTATAGTTTGTAAAATTTCTTGAATTTCCTCGTTTTACATCTAGCAAGTATACTTTGCTTGGAAAACTATGTGTGCACCCAAAAAACAACTTAATATTTGGTGAGATTATTGAATAGCTATAATCATGATAATCAACCTTCCTCAAAATTATTTTGTTGTTTCTTGAATTGGTTGCGCACAATGTTTCTAAAAAGAAAATATGGGTTGAAAACTGCATTAATTCAGCCTTTTTCTTCATTTTCATTTAAAAAAAAGGCTTGTTTTGTGATGTGATAACAAAAAATCTTGTGTAATTTATTTATATTTCTTGATCTTATGCATTTCCATACATTATGTGCAAAGTTGAAATAGATTTAAAAAACTTTCATTTTCTTGGGCTAAAAATGGGCCTTAATCCCCCTAAACCTCTAATAATGAAGTATTCTGTAAACAACTGGCTGTAACCAACTTTAGAAAATAATGCATTTACAAAACCCCGTTAGAGCTTGAATGCATATGATAACCAAAAGTATCATTACACTTTGACATCATGGTTCACCTTTTGTTACATCCTTAAACAGCTCACTGCAACAATCCAGAAAATGTATATGTTTTATGATTTATTTTGACATAAGACATTGATGTTCAGTGTAGGATGCATGTTGGCTGTGGCCTACTTTAATGTCCTGTGAATTCATTTATTTTTGTGGGTACCAATTTCTTAGATTTAAGGAACATTTTGTTTTCGTGGATATTTGATTTCATGATTTTGTTGTCAAGCCTGCAACTTTTGTTGCAGAAAGCTTGACATAGGGATAGTGATCCGGCCGTCGGCGGCGTTGGCGTTAGCTAACTTCTATAAATCTTAATATTTCAGAGGGTAGAAGACCTGGATGCTTCATACTTTGTATATAGATGCCTTATGATGTGAAGTTTACGTCTGTCATATGTCCATTGTCCTTGACCTCATTTTCATGGTTCAGTGACTACTTGAAACAAAAGTTAAGATTTTTTGTAATGTTTATTTCTCTCTTATTATGAGTAATTGGATAACTATATTTAGTGTGTGCGTACCTTGCAAGGTCCTCATGCCTGTCAGACAGTTTTCACTTGACCTCGACCTCATTTCATGGATCAGTGAAAAAGGTTAAGTTTTCTTGGTCAAGTCCATATCTCAGATACTATAAGCAATAGGTCTACTATATTTGGTGTATGTAATGATTATGTCCAAGTGGCAGGTGTCATCTGACCTTGACCTCATTTTCATGGTTCAGTGGTAATAGTTTAGTTTTTGTGTTTTGGTCTGTTTTTCTAATACTGTATGCAATAGATTAACTATATTTGGTGTATGGAAATATTTTACGATGTACATGTCCATCTGGCAGGTTTTATTTCACCTTGACCTCATTTTCACTGTTCATTGCTCAATGTTAAGTTTTTGTGTTTTGGTCTGTTTTTCTATTAATACTATATGCAGTTGGTCAACTATATTTGGTGTATGGAAATATTTTACGATGTACATGTCAGTCTGACAGGTTTTATTTGACCTTGACCTCATTTTCACGGTTCATTGATCAATGTTAAGTTTTTGTGTTTTGGTCTGTTTTTCTAATACTGTATGCGGTAGGTCAACTATATTTGGTGTATGGAAATATTTTGTGATGTACATGTCAGTTTGGCAGGTTTTATTTGACCTTGACCTCATTTTCACGGTTCATTGCTCAATGTTAAGTTTTTGTGTTTTGGTCTGTTTTTCTATTAATACTGTATGCAAAAGGTCAACTATATTTGGTGTGTGGAAATATTTTACGGTGTACATGTCAGTCTGGCAGGTTTTATTTGACCTTGACCTCATTTTCAAGGTTAATTGCTTATGTTAAGTTTTTGTGTTTTGGTCTGTTTTTCTTAAACTTTAAGCATTAGGTAACTATATTTGGTGTATGGAATGATTGTAAAGTGTATATGTCTATAGGTATCATCTGACCTTCACCTCATTTTCATGGTTCATTGGTCAATGTTCAGTTTTCCTGGTTAACTTTGTTACTTAGATACTATAAGCAATAGGTCAACTATATTTGATGCATGGAATGATGTCTGTCTTGCCAGGTTCATCTGACCTTGACTTCATTTTCATGGTTCATTGGTCAATATAGAATTTCCATGGTTTGGTCTGTTTCTTTTATACTATAGACAATAGGTCATCTATATTCTGTGTATGGAATGATTGTATTAAAGGTGTACATGTATTTTTGGCTTGGTTTATCTGACCTTGACCTCATTTTCTTGGATCATAAATGTTAATGTGATACTTGTAGTAAAACTTTATATGTAGGACTATCAACATAAAATCAATTGTCAGTATAGTAGGCGAGACATTTCAGCGTGTGCACTCTTGTTTCTGAATACAAGCTTATAGAAAATGTGTATCGTTTAAAAATTTAAACTTCTTGTTCACTTTTAACCAAGAAATCAACAAAAATTGTATCCTACGAATAATAATAAATTCACATTATTTTTGCAGCTGTATTTCTTCAAACTAATATTACAACATCTTACTGTATTGTAGAAGATTGGTTAGCTAAGTATTCCTTTTACTCATTTGGAAATTTATTTATTTGAGTAATTAAGGTCTCTTGTTATAGGTAATGGTTTTTGGGAGAAAAATTAATTCTTAATTCTTAATTGTTATTTTTTGTTTTTGTTTAACTTTACTATTAATTTGTGATTAATTTTAATTTGTTGACAATAAAAAAAAAATATTGATACTCATTTCGTTTTTGTCCAACGCATAACACGTTGCGGGGACATGGAAATACCGGGCGTCTGGCCATCCGTGTGTCTGTCAGTGTGGTCTTGTTAGCGCTCTCACAGGGACAATTCTTGCCAGATTTTTATAAAACTTATACTATAGGTTAATATAAGCAAGATCTTGGACAAGTTCTATAATGGTGGCCGATCGACTTTTTTAAAAAGAGATATGTCCCTTGGGAATATTAAATTTATGGAAAATGGCCTAGTTAGTGCTCTCAAGAGTACAATTCTTGCCAGATTTTTATATAACTTATACTATAGGTTAATATCAGCAATATCTTGGACAAATTTCTATAATGGTGGACAATCGACTTTTTTTTAAAAGAGTTATTCCCCTTGGAAATATTAAATTTATAGAAAATGGCCTTGTTAGTGCTCTCACTGGTACAATTCTTGCCAGATTTTTATAAAACTTATACTATAGGTTAATATCAGCAATATTTTTGACAAGTTCTATAATGGTGGCCGATCGACTTTTTTAAAAAGAGATATGTCCCTTGGGAAAATTAAATTTATGGAAAATGGCCTCGTAAGTGCTCTCAAGAGTACAATTCTTGCCAGATTTTTATATAACTTATACTATATGGTTTTATCAGCAATATCTTGGACAAATTTCTATAATGGTGGCTGATCGACTTTTTTTAAAAGAGTTATTCCCCTTGGAAATATTAAATTTATGGAAAATGGCCTTGTTAGCGCTCTCACTGGTACAATTCTTGCCAGATTTTTATAAAACTTATACTATACTGTAGGTTAATATCAGTAATATCTTTGACAAGTTCTATAATGGTGGCCAATTGACTTTTTTATGCCCATCCTACAATAGTAGAGGGGCATTGTGTTTTTCGGTCTGTACGTCTGTTCGTTCGTTTGTCCGTTCGTTTGTCTCGCTTCAGGTTAAAGTTTTTGGTCAAGGTAGTTTTTGATGAAGTTGAAGTCCAATCAACTTGAAACTTAGTACACGTTCCCTATAACATGATCTTTCTAATTTTAATGCCAAATAAAGAGTTTTGACCTCAATTTCACGGTCCACTGAACACAGAAAATGATAGTGTGAGTGGGGCATCCGTGTACTATGGACACATTCTTGTTTAAAAGAGTTGTACCCCTTTGAAATATTAGATTTATGGAAAATGGCCTCGTTGGCGCTCTCACGGGTACAATTTTTTATAAAACTTATACTATAAGTAATGCCTTTGATTTGATTTGATTTGATTTTTGGTGTTTTAATGCCACTTTTAAGCACCGCTTTTGGGTTTTTTCGTGCGGGCCAGTTTTTATTGGTGGAGGAAGCCGGAGTGCCTGGAGAAAACCACCGACCTTCACTAGGAAAACTGACAATCCTAGTCAATTAAGTAGAGTCGAGTGAACCCGCACCAGTGGGGTTCTAACTCACAACCTCAGTGTTGATTGGCTAGTGACTACAGTAGTAACTACTTAGACCACTCGGCCGTAATGCCTTTGAAGGTCTCTGAAATATTAAGTTTACAATAAAAAAAAAATGTTTGTCCCCTGCGCACACTTTTTATTCATAAATTGTTTTAAAGAACAATATAAAAAAGTTTTTTTTTTTAGTTATTGCCCCTGGATAGATGAAATATGTGCAACGTGGAGGACATTGGAACTCTGTTCTTTTATTATTTATTTCTTCATTAATAAAATCACTGATAAATTTATATGATTTTATGCCCTCTTAATTTCATTTGTAGAAAGCACAAACATGTAACTTATATTAAATTACAAGCATCTCAAGATGGAATTGATGGATACTAATTTTTCTTTATGTGTCTGTTGTGGAAAATTTATCGATAGTTTTATTGTTTTCTTGTGGTTAAAATATAATTATATGCCTGCTACAATGGAGGGGGTATTCTGTTTTACCTCTGTCTGTCAGTCAGTTTGCCTTCCCCTGAAAATCTGATGTATTTTTCTCGGGAACTACAAATCGCAGCTTCCTAAAATTTGTTACAAGTCTTCCGGTGAACATGCCATACTCTGTAATGCGTTTCAGATTCATCGATCTTCAACTTCCTGATTACCAAATGCTCATCTATTCCAAGGTATTGTATATTCAAAAGGAATGGAAATGCGGCCGACTTCAAAGAAAACATTATGATGCATCTCTGTCTCGGGCGGTGCATTAATAACAAACACCCTGTCGCTCTAACTAGCTCATTACTTGGAAGCAGTTATCGAACTTGGTCATTTAATCATGAGATGAAACAAAGAATTGTATGTATAAATAGTGACAATTCATTGAATAAACAGGGTTACACTAATGTCCTGACCAATGTCCTGACTAGTGTCCTGACCAATATGCAAAATGCTAATAACTTTTTTGTTCTTTGCAGGATCGAGTTCAAATTTGATGTCAAGGAAGATTATAACATTAAATATATAAATTTTGAATGCTTGTATAAACATTATTTGAAATCAAATGAAGGCCATTTCCTGTCCTTATTTATGTTATTTGACATGTATATATAATCCCTCATTAACTAAAAAAAACAAAAAATGAGTGAAATAAAAAGAAAATATAGGTAAGTAACCACTCCAATGTGTGTTAACTGTAATTAATATAGGTGTGATTAAATTTTAATTGTTCATGTCACTGTCTTTTGACTTTATTGAATCCTGTACATCTATATCATTCTAATTATTGAAAGTAGGAAAAGTGCATTTACGAATTATCTAAATCATCATACATAAAGTTTATCTAATCACATATTACTTTTATAATTATTTAATATGGTTTAATAAATCAGTAATTAGTTTAATAATTTACACTTAACCAAGTTTATAGAATTACGAAAGTATACCATATCATTTCAAATTAACAAAACAAAAATGCTTTGAATGTTGTGTTCTTGAGGGGATTGATAAATATGTTTTCATGATTATACAAGGCAAGAATTAAAACAGTTTTTGTGAAATTTTGATAGGGGTTAATTGTGGTCATTTCAAGTTCCATGTTGCTTAAAATTAAAAAGTGCAACTTCTTTCTTAACTATATTTAAAAAAATGGAATATTGCTAAAATTCAAAGAAGTTTATTCTGTTTTTTCTTTTTTATCGGTCAGGACATTGGCAAGGACAAAGTATAGAATTGGTCAGGTCGAGTTTTTTTTACCTTTAAAATTTTTTTTTTTTTTTTACAATTTTTTTTCAAAGCCTTATACTAAATGTTGTCATCTTCCCTGATACTAAACTTGATAATATCCCTTTCAAAAACAAAAAAAGTTATAATTGGCATTTATATATCGGTCAGGACATTCATCATGGCAAAGATCAAGTTGGTCAGGTCAAGTTTTCTAACATTTCAAAAATTAACAAACATTTTTTTTTCATAAATTCTTATATTTTATATTATAATCTTCCTTGGTAACGAACTTTAAGTCAATTCTTTCAATAATAAAAAAGTGATTAACATTTTTACATGGGGCAAGATATTAGTCCGGGCAGAGTCGACGTTGGTCAGGTCAAGTTTTCTAACTCTTAAAATTTTTTTTTATATTTTTTCTTTTATTCATATATTTAATATTATAATCTTCCTTGACATCAAATTTAAAGTCGATATTTCGAAGAACAAAAAAGAAATTAGCAATTTTACATCGGTCAGGACATTAGTCAGGGCAGAGTCGACTTTGGTCAGGTCAAGTTTTACAACGTTAACTCTTTAAATTTTTTTTTTTTATTTTTTCTTATATTTATATATTTTATGTTATAATCTTCCTTGACATCAAATTTGAACTCGATCCTTCAAAGAACAAAAAAGTTATTAGCATTTTTCATATTGGTCAGGACATTAGTCAGGATATTGGTCAGGACATTAGTGTAACCCGAATTAACAAACAAAAATAAAAAAATACAACAATAATACCTTTTATAGTTACTTATGAAAAAGTTTTTATTCTTGTTCCCCATCTTGATATTTCATGGAGGTATGCAACAATGAGAAGAAATCCGACATTAAACGAGTTTTTAAAAAGAAAGGTAACGCAAAAATTGAAAAAAATAACTTTTTCAATTTTTTAATATGACTGGTGTAGAAAAGTATAAAGGAACGTGAATAGGTGTAGTGTTTTATCTAGATAAAAAGAACTTGTATTAAAGGTGTTATGATAAACTCCAGTATGGGAAATTCCAATTTACAGGTATAATCTATCATGTATATCATTGATAAGCTAGTTTTTATACGACCGCAAAAAATTTTTGCGGTCGTATATTGGTATATCGCTCTAGGTTGTTCCGAATGGACGTTGTATAGCAGCACGAAGATTTTGCACAGATCACAGATCCAAATACGGAGAGTTTCTAAGTCTTGATTTGCACTTGCATCCTCACAATTTAATATTATAGGTCACTATACCTTGTTTTAACTAATAACTTCAGGCATTTTTGTAAATTGCACGGTGTTTCCAGCTAACTTTTCTTGCAGGCCTTGCCGGACGGCCATTTAATTTCCAGCGCCATATTTGAATTTTGACAAATAAAATTTTATTTTTTCAGACAGTAAGTCTAAGTCTTTTTGTGAATTATAAATAATTAAAATAAATAATTCAGACATCTTTATAATCATTTCGAACAGTTAAATAATTTTTTCCATTCTAGTTAAGTTTAAATTTTTGACCACATAGTCTGTAGTCTAGACCTCCCCCCCCCCCCCCCCCCCCCCTCTCTCTTATTTTATTTTCTTGCTAAATCTATTTATCTATATATAGTTTAATCAAACCTTTAAACACACTGTACTTGTGTTTCAACCAATATCCTGTGTTTGAAAGATAAAAGAAAATTTAGTCCTCTGTTTCCACAAAGATTGATATATGTCTGAGACTAAAGTTGTAAAGTCAAGCAGATACTTCAGAGTAAATAAGAGAGATATTCAGGATAAAACAGCCCAAAGCCAACCCATAATTGTATCTGATAGTAAAGGCAAATACATAAAGAGAGCCATT